GGGTGTCAGTGCAGGTGGATGGATTTGGGTTACCTTCGTGTCCAATCGCGGATGCTCGTACCGGGTCGGGTTACCGTGTCGTTTCTATTTGCGTTGTTTTGCTGTCACAGGTAAATGACATGGATGGGGAAACCGAACGCCGTATGTAATTATATGGCTACTGCTCCGCGGTGTCACTTGGATGCCAGTGACCAGTGAATAGATGGAGACGTAAAGTCTATGAATGCGAGTGGGCAGTATTATGTGTCTATGGTAACCCGGGTAAATTAGACACGAAATCTAACAAGTGTCCAATTTGGAAAGTAATCACCGCGTTTGGCAGTTTAAGATTTACTCTTTAATCTACAAGTAGCATCGCTTATGTTTGATCTGTGTTATAATATGACTGTATCTGAATACACATTTAGGGACACAATGTAATATTCCTTTAAACACGTACATTGCATATGTTTCAGTTAAAATGTACGAGTCGTGAAGATATGGTTTTACTTTCCTAATGAGATCATCAAATGTTGTCATTTCCCTACGATAGGAAGATATATAGTTATTGACAACTCAATGCAGGTGGTCGGTGAAGCGCTTGAAAAAGCTACAAGCAATGAATGGTCCGGTGCCCAATTTGGTATTATCCCTCGATGGTGATAGTTGCGAATGATACCGAATTCACAAAAAAACACTTTGTGAAAACCGCTCTTATCTGACAGGTCATTCTTCAACCAATCTTATACTTGCTGGTATTTACCACTCAGCTCCGCGTGGGTTCCGAGTGTCCGAGACCCTCCACTCTGTTTACAGTGTTTTCATTTACAGGGCCTGGCAAGCGGTGATCGGGTGTCGCTACTGAAAGCCTAATTAAAGTTAATGTTACGCGATTCCTTTTAACTTATTGTTGCCAATTTGGAATAAGTCCCAACCCAAAACATACGTTGCAGTGCATTGAGGTTGTTCTGAATCTCGTGGTTGGACGGAGCGCAGTGTAGTAGCCGTAGGTGTCAGTCAGGCAAGCAGCAGTCCATCGACGTTATAACGTAACCCCAAATTCAGCCGGAGAGAGAAAGGCAGAAACATGTTTTGTTATTGATCATGTTCTTCTGAATGTTGTTTCATGTGAATGAATTTGATTTTTTTTAAAGAAAAGACATTGCTTGGACAAATCTATAATATAGTTTACTTAGGACATACCTGCAACGCACTGCCCCAAGGGTACTGATTGACAATCGCGAGAAAGACAAACAAGAACCCTTTCGCTAGTGAAAGTAGTATGAAAGTGACTTTTCGTACTTCGCCGTGAATTACAACGTCACAGATATGCGAGAGCTGGTGCTTACCGTAAATACACCATGGACTTTATTGAAAGAGATACCGCTTGTCGAAAGTAATGACCCTTCACGCGGTTACAATACTCCGCATTTTCAAATTGTTTACATAGGTACTAAACTAATGAGAAAATAGTAAAGGAATAGCTGTCAGATTTCTCTGGTATACAAATAAATCGTTCAATGTCACTCCAGCGGAACTGAGCAGCGGGGAAAATACGTTTCGAAATCCGATCAACTTTTTTTTCTTGTTTGTGCGCCACGAAGAGCGTCAATCTTCGCATTCGCATCCATCTCGGGTTGCTCGTCCCTGGGTGGCCTTACTACCGTCATTGTTGTTATATTCTGTTAATTTTTTAATTGGTGTTGCAACAAAACTGTATCAATTTGTTTAACTGAGATGGGTGGGTGTCGAGTTGCTGTTTTTGACGCGGGCCAGGGGGTTTTCCAAACTGACTCGTTCGATGACCATCTACACAACAGAGGCTCGGAGTATCGGCTTTGCGACCGTTGTTTAGTAACACTGTTTCCCACAAGTCTATTTTGCGGTATTACACCGGCTCGAATTGCCGCTATTAATCAACCTGAAAACACTGAACCCTTTTTTTGTAACAGAACCAATCTATATAACAGGAGCTTTTAAGTGGGCTTTGTCCAGTAATTAGCTCTACATATTATTGAGACAACCGAAATCCGTGTCGTACCAGGACCTATTCATGGTTTCAGTTGCAGATTGTCCTTACTGATTTGTTACACTGTGTCAGTCTAGTGACGTAGTCATAGTAGTTAAGTACATAGTTGTGTTTGCATCATGGACGATACTAATGTATAAGCAAGGTCCTGAAAATAATAGTGGTAAAACAGAAGCATTTATCCCCACGGCCGTTCATCGAATATGACCGCATCTTACGAAGTATTGAACACTAATTCTACGCCACTTACACGTTGTACTTTTGAAAGCGACACTGTTGAGTCGCGTGTTTTTATGAATTTACGGTTCATTCGTCGTCATTTACAGTAGCAAATCGAAAAGTTTAGTATAATGATTACAGTTGAATGTTAACTAAAATGTATGTTGCGTGCGACCGTTGCAGTTCAGTCCATGGAGGTATAATGTTTAGTCAAAGCTACAGTGGTTACAGAAGTCACAGTTATAGAGTTAGCATTAAAGTTCGGTGTGCGGTATTGCATCGTCTTACTTGTTTTTGATAATCCAGCTGTTATTAAGAATGAACATTTGGGGAAAAATGTGTTTAACCATTCTTTGCTGTTATGGTATTCAAAATCAAATTTTGGAAGACAATATTTAACAAAATTAAACAATCCAAAAAACCAAAAATATGCGCACAATTTTGAAAGCAAAGAGGTGTATTTTATATAAGGTCACTGTGTTTCCGGCCGTCGAAGGATTAAAGCATGTGAAATTATTTATAAAATTAGCTCAAAGTCCTAACTGAAAATTTGAATTGAACTTTAAGAGAAATTTGGAATGAAAGTCAATGTGTCTAGAGAAATTACATTAGATGTCAACGGAAAGATAGGGAATGAAATCTAGTGCGATAATTAGGTTTTCTTGGCCCACTACTTTTAAAGATTATAAACACGTGTGGTACCAAGAATACCTGGTTGAAATGCTGTTGTTGGGAGACATTTTTAGAAGACACACGTATCCAACAAAACACGGTGTGGTTGATACAGAAGGAAAAAAAGCCCACGAAACAGACACTGTGTATATATTCACAGTCCCTCTATTGTAAATGAGTGTGCATTGCCTAAGTCCTGACTTCATTATATACATAGCCGCTTCGTATTGGTCGTTACATAGAGGTACACTCCACTGGCGGATCCAAAAATTCTGTAAGGGGGCGCGCGCTCCTATTGACGTGGCCGAATTAGACCTCCGGTGGGCTAGGTGTGTCAATTGATTTGTCAATTTTTTGCGGACTGAAAGGGGAGGGGGCACCTGGCGCGCGTGCACCCCTGAAGAGAGAATAGTATAACGCGTTTTTTTGTAATAATTTGGAATTCAACTCAGAGTTACCTGTTCGAACTGTTAGTCCTTTCTCCCCGAACAATGAAAACATTAGATCAAACATTTTGTGCAATAAATGTCCTCACACTATCTTTAACCGTTCGTTCGTCCGCTTTCGATTTCACGAAATTTGGTCCTCGATCTCGGGCGATTTGCCCTCCCTGATCGCTTGGTATTGTCAAATATTGATAGTCCTGTTTTCTTGAAAAAAGAAGAAGAATTGATGTATTAACTTGCAACTTGTTTGACCGGCAACTTTGAGTAAACTTTATAATGGTGAAATGTATTCACTTCTTTTTCAAATACCGCGATGCCTCATGGGTTAATAAATAACACTGAATAATCATGAAAGATCCTGGTTCGAAAGTTAAAAAGTAACAACACAAATATTGGAACGATCAATCAAAGACCGCGGGTAGTTCAGTAATACCTATTTGATTAAGGCTCGATATAGTAATCCTATCTGCGAAAATCCAGCGGCATTGAAGAGAATTTAAATAAATAATCCTCGTACTAAGGACAAACACACCGATGCGATAAGCAGTTAGTGGGACACCCGGCGGAATGTAGCTGGACGAGCGTACGTCTCTCCTCGCCCGCAAAACACACGTATCTCACTGAAGGCCAATAACAATTACGCTATACTGAGATACTTGTAATAGTTTAATATATTCATAGGCAATTATTATTTTGAATTATTTCTTTGTAGAATTACCTTGATTTATTTATTTCCAGCTATATAGTTATTGTATTAGGCACAATCCATTTATGTCCTAGGGGCAAGGTAGAGTAGGAGGGACGAGGATTTTGTGACCGTATGTTGAAATTTGTGTGAATATTAAGTTTTCGAGCTAGAATTTAAAGTAGTACAAACACAGAGCCGCGGACTGAAGATGTCCGCTATTACTTGTTACGGGAACTTTTGTCCCACATCACTCGTACTTTCAGAATTTTAAACTTTTGAAATAAATTTTTTCCGCAATCTAATTTTAGTATGTTGATTTCCCACTCCGCATTTTCAGAACTCTCTGCGCAACGATACGGTATGCACACCAGAAACGTTAGTGTATCACTTTCCACCGTTAAGCCGATACCTTTTTGGTGATGGATCACATTTTTTAAAGTTAAAAGACCAACACAACTAGAGCGTACCAACGACTTGATTAAAAAATCCGGCGATACTGGAATGTCGAATGTCCCCCTCATGTTAAGCAATGACTTGGTGTACAGTGTTACACCAGCGCAGGTTGATTAATTGCATACTCTCGTCGGCTTCGAGTGTCAATCTTAACGCGGCGGAATGGTGCCACTGTGAAACATGGGGCCATAAGCCAATGGGTATGTTCAGCGCACCACCTGTCACTGGCGTCAGACCGACGGTAATCCGGACTGCCCTCACGGTGGTTCACTGCTAATCAGCTGAGAAAGGCCGCACGATCATCACGGGGTAGGCACGATAAACGTGAGATTTGGACGTTTTGATCGGAGTCGGTCGGTCGGTGAACTATGTTCCCGTCAAACTGAGTACTGACTGTTGACGTTTGAGTGAGGTCACGTGACCACGGGATCGCCACCGTTGCATTACTTATTTTAGACGGTGTAACAAAAAATACGCATTGTTTACTTTCCTCCACTGAGACCAACCACCGAGACCGAGCGAAAAGAGTGTTTGATGTGGGAACTACAATATCACGGCAAAACTATCAAGATGAACCCGGCCATATTCGGCAGTCCGCCATACACTCCGCCACTGACGGCCAATTTTCAGTCATTCGCCGCCTCTAACGCTTTCGGTCTCCCCATTGGGACATTGGCCAATGCAGCCAGATGTAGCGCCGATTTTGACATCCTAGCAGCGGCCGCGGCCACATCAGCTCTGTATTCCCCGGGGCCCATGTGTCCCTACCAGAGTATGCTGAGCCCTAACTATGTACCGTCGGAACCTTGTCGACAGGCGCTGATGATGGCATCCCAAGCGGCCGGTCTTACCGGAGCAACCGAGTATTCAGGTGAGAGGTTTGTTTATCGCATACACCGACGATGGTAATTAATTTAATTACACGGGTGGGTAGATAGTGTGTAATTGAAATGGACACTGAAAACCTACAATAGAACCTGAGGCAAATTTGCTGATTTAATTAACTTTTGTTTATGCTTTTTCTTATGTTATTGTATTTTCCTGTAAACTTTCTTCCACATACGTACACACGGTGACGACATCCGTTAGTTACACCGGACATGAGTTTCATCACCTCCACCGACTCATGTTATGTGCAAGTTGTCGGTTTCCCACGGATAACTGTGTGTGAACGCAGTCTTCACGGCTGGGATCGGTCATCAACGGATCTCAACCGTGTCGTTTTAAACTAACGTTTGCGTTTCATACACATGGAAAAAAAATTCATTCAAGCAAAACAAAAAATCGTATAGAGGGAAAAACACTTTCGCCAAGTCAGGCAACAGATTAAATGTAAAGCCGTAAACTTATTTTGTTTTGGAAATAACAAAAAGTAATTACTTAAACAAATCAATTATGCTAATTGCTATTGTTCGTTTCATTTTAATAATATACGTATGTAATAAACAGAGAAAGTATCATACGACGTGGTTACAGGTTATGATGTTGTAACTTCAATTTGATTTAATCTTTAACAATTTTTTTTCAGTATTTTTTGTTGAGTTAAAGAAATTAAAATAGCGGTTCCACGGAGGCCATACCTCGTTCTTTATTATTTTTTAAACAGTAAGGTACACAATGAACGCTGTTCATAATTCGAATATTAATATGTACGCTGGTGACACAAATTTTGATTATACTGCGACCTCGCAGATGAAGTGCAGCATAACATTACGTAATACCTTATAAATTTGTCACCGTAATTTGATAAACATATACCAAGTTCAAACGTAGCAAAAACGGAATTTATGATGGCCATTGCGTAAGGTAGAAACAAATGCTAGTCTACGTGATTTAATAAAACATGCAAGGGAAATTCCATAACAGAAGTTGAAAGTTTTAAGTGTCTTGGTCACTTTATTATGAAAACATAACATACATATGATATGTAAGACGATTGTAAGTAATAATTGGACGCTTTGTTCCGCGCTCATTTCTTTCAACTGTTTAGTAGATTTGTATCAGTGTGATAGTTAATTAATATTACCGATGCTGGTAGCCCTCACAGGCTGAAGGTACTCCTGAATCAAGCAGGTTGAATAATTCTGGGGTGAATATAGTCACACATAGAAACGACATGTTTAACAATTCAGTTGACATGCTTAGTTTAAGTAATAGAAGACATTTGCACCAGGCCACACTATAAATTCATGAATGGGGATGCTCCATCTGTTAACAAGATTCACAACCAATGACCAAATGCACAGATACAGAGATCTTCATCTCAAAACCACCCTGTTGAAATCAGAACGCATTATATGATATATAGTTTTAGCTACACCGGTCGCACTTATGGAATCCATACCCATCTAATATTAAGTATTTCCCCACTGTCACGTCATTTGAAAACCTGTGTATGCGAAATACTTAAATTGAATTTTATATTTTGTGTAATTTTATATTTACAAGTACTGCTATTTTGTGTATGTTGTCGTGTAAAGTGTTGTTATGTATATATTGTTCTTTTCTTTCGGCCTTCTTGTAAATAAGTACTAGCTACTTGAGGAGCTACCGAAATTAAATATAATTAACTGGAATAAAATTGACCTGAGTTTGTTTCATCTAAAATGAAATGCCCACGCATCTTGTGGTGGTGGTTGTGGTTATCGTGCTTGTGGCAGGGGAGACTATTAAACTCCGTTTCACAAGAATATAACATGTAACATCATAATCAAAGTATACCTGGCGGAAAAAAACAGCGATCAAATAACAGGAAAATTAACCTTAACAGTGTTGTTGAACATGCACTAGTATCAGGCCACATTCGAATAACGCAATTACATGGATACTAAAACATGTAATAATATATATATATATATATTACATATAGAAAACTCTAGTAGGTAATCACAGTACTTGGTAATTAGTTAACATAACCAGACGGTTGGAACTAAGTTTTCTTTCAGTCTCAATGATAGATTTTTAAAATTAAAAAAAAAAGTATATTAATAAGATAAAACAAGACTCGTGCAAGCATATTAGCAAAGCCGACCGCCCTACATTGCAAAATTAGGTACGTGTACCTCTATATTAGGCATAGTTTTTATGTTGCCGTTATGATACAGCTGTTAAAATGTAATGTTTACATCTAGTAAGTTTTCACTTAACTTTCATTTGAAACATGTTTGATTCTACCATTATCGAATGTGTGTTGCACTTTATTTGTTTAATGTCGTCTGATTCAAGTTGACGACGAAATGCTGCCGTGTTCCGTTGTTTGTTCAACGTATATTTACCTACCAGTGATAATCGGAAAAAATGACAGTTTATTCTCATTATATATATTCTTGCTATATTCCAGAGTGTCGACGGTTGTTAGGTTGAATAAGTGGGTACCACATACTAGTATTGTGAAAAGACGGCGTGTTCACCGAAGGCGTCGTCTTGAAAATGTGCGATCATTTAACATGAAATAACTGCTTTCAAGCCCTACCCTGTGTTGACAGCGGAGACAGTTCCCAAGTACCCTCTGTCTGACATAGTGTAGACATTCGTAAGATGCGTAATGATTGGCTTAGATGAATGGCTGTCGATGAATCGAGTGAGAAGGGAACGGAGAGAGACATATTTGAACAATGCTTTTATGAGTTTAATAATTGAGGAAATTAGCTTGCATAGTAATTCCATATCTCACAGTGGCAATATCCAGTCTTCTCGTTAAAGTCGGGTATACCACCGTTCCTTACGTTTCACCACTTCGTCTCACAAGGCGACGTAGCCACACTGTACGACTCAACACATCTCTAACTATATACGCGGCTTTCGATCCGCATTGTGTAATATTTTTTTTCGAAATTACCGATATTTTCCAAAATCAGCCCCTGGTCCGAGGCATTCATCAAATGTCATTAGCCCACCTTATCCCAGTTCAGACCCGAACCTACCCGTCCCGTTTAGCTTTTGTGGACTTCTTAGAATGGAGCTGCACGTGCATGTCTCGAATGAGGTTGCTTCTCGGTTATTCCTGACGCCATCAATTCCTGTTATGTTTACTCTAATATGAAAAGAAACAACCTACTATGTTGATATTTGCTAGAATCTTAAGATATTTAGATAATTAAATCAATATACTTGTTGATGAGATTACACTGATAAGGGTAAACTCTCTGAAACTGATGATGACAGATACAATACATCATATGGGTTTTAAGGCAGACTCCGTGGGAACTTTTTGCTGTCGGGATTGCCTCCGGTAACACCGAACATATTAGTGCAGACACGACGTTACTTGGGAATATTGCTGGCAAATCTAAAAACAACCCCAATCCCAAAGACAATGTCACAAATAATAACACTACTCATTTTCAATAGAATATGATATAAAATTTTGTATAAACTGTTCCGAAGCATACGTCGTTCTTTTTTATCTCAATATGTACTAATTTATTTTTCAGTTGACTTGTTATTCGTGTACAAACACAGCGATCGTTTCTCATTGCATTCTCCCCGGAGAAACAAACACTCATCTTCTCACCCCGCCTGTCAAAATAAACTTGACTCACTCTGCAGCGCTCGGATGATGCCTTAAGTACTTTTAATTTGAAATTATCTCGATGTTTGTTATTTTGCTTTCATTGGGCGACCTCTGTGTTTGCCATGGCGGTCTTGCATTGACGTCATATCAGCCCACCGACGTTACGTTACTTTGGTAGAATGCAAATACACGTTTGTTTCTGCAAGATGCACTACCCTACCCGTTTGTAATAACCACTCCATGTTTTGTCTTCTTGATACCCATCTAATGCAGTACCCGTAATTGAAATTATCACAACCCCTACCCATCGTATACCCATCGCAATTTCCAATCACTGTGCACGACGGAGAACACCTACGGTGGTATCAATGGTGCTGGAAAAACAGAAACATCCTCGGCGTTAGTGTGATAGCTCATTTCACACTGTGGGTGGTATTAATCGATAGTGCTAATAAAAAACCATATTGTCGGTATCGTTACAACAATACAGTAACATTACCCCATTAAAACTAACGATTTGTTCTACGACAGCCTTGGCGGGACATCGACATTTGACTAATTCTCCCTAGTGCGTTTCTCACATCCTTTAATTCACAGGCGTTGTTGACACTTGGCTCTACTCGAGACGAGTGGGCTTGTGTGTGTTATTATATTTACACGAAACCTGGGCGTGTTGGGGTAAGGGAAACTCAACATGTCTGGTGTATGTTTCAACAGAAAACAACTCGAGAATTTACATCACCTCACTCAAAATAATCAGAATTTTTTTACACTTGCATGCGTTATCATTAGCGTTGTTTTCAGTGTAAACTCTTTTGTTAGTACGGCGGTGTGAAATACAGACATCATGGGGGGGGGGCATCATGAGGGGGGGGGCAACCGAGTAAAAACATTGTACGTAGCTTTCAAAACTGGCGCGTGTCTGAAACAAATTTGATATATATTCTTAAAGAATTTAAGACTTGAATCAAACTGCAAATATCAAAATTTGATTAATGAGTGCCCTTGTCGTTGCAATTTACAACCAAATGTTTGTATGCTACCTGTCCATTCATTAAGACATAACCCCGTCTACTAGTACGTTTATATCATCATACTGGCGTGTGTACATACGGGCACTAACGCATTTAGTTAAATATTATATAACATGCACTGAAAGATATTGATTTTTGTCACTTTTCTTACATCATTTCAGCGGAGGAGAATAAGCCAATAAAACAACGCAGAAATCGCGCTAACTATAGCGCATGGCAACTAGAAGAGCTAGAGAAAGCCTTCCAAACTACACACTATCCGGACATATTCATGAGGGAAGCATTAGCGTTGAAGTTGGACCTGATTGAAGCACGTGTACAGGTAAGATAATGTCACCAACTAATGTCGTTTATATGTATAACACTGTACAAATAGCATTAAACTTTTACGAATCTTTCCGAATATATGCTCTTTCCACGACTCCAATTAGAAGGTGATACTCGATGTGTGGGGACGGTGTGTAATTTTACTATTACCTGCCGATTTGTATTCACTAGTAGTAAGATAATATATATATGGAATAAACGGTACAAAGCGATTATTTATATATATATATATGTTTGTGGACAAGAACATATTCGGCGAGCGTGATCAGTGCCGCCCGAATCATGGTAAGCAATTAAATTCAGGCGATATTGGATTTTTATTGACGGAAAAGATGAGAGCTGTTTTAAAACTACCGCTACTGTAACAGTTGAAGCGCATTAACTAGATTCAACGCTGACATGGATGGAGTGCAAGGAGCTAAAACAGTTCAATGCGATACCGCCAATCAAACTAATTACGAAAAATAGCATAAGCGAATGTGAGAGGATCGTTCCCACATACTGGTGGTTTAAATTTATAACCGTTCTTTCCCCGCTCGAAATGTCTTTCACAATTCATACGTTTCATGATTGTGGTTCCATTTGTCAGTACCGTGATGAGATCAATACGAGTTTCCGTCGTTACAAGTGTTTGCTGTTTACCCAACTGATTAATAACAGTTTCCCAGAGTTAATTAATCTCACCCTCAAGTGGTCACCGGCTAATTCGCTTTCTCCGTCGTATTTGCTTGTTTGCTCCGTCCCAACCGACGGTAGTAAATATTTGTTCGTCCCATGTTGGGCGCGGAGAAGGATCTATTGTCGCGACTGTTCTAATGCCTTTGATGAAAGGAATATATAAATTGGCGGACTTAGAGGTGCCGAGAGTTTGTGACAGATTCAAAAGGCTATCCTCACGCTGTTATCTTAAGGACTTTATAAATTTTAGTTCAACCAAAAAGAGGAGGTATGTTTTTTGCCGCGTCGCACGTTTTCCCGTGACAGGCCATGCGTGTTTCAAAAGAAAAAAAAGTATACGACGTACAGTTCTAATTTTTAACATTCGAGTATCTGTAAACACACACTTTGCTATCGACACGCGCAGATTTACTGCATTGTAATTTGACAATAAAAACTAGCTTTTGGAGGTAAATTATGTCTCTTATTTGACCCCTAGTGTCATGGTCGAATGTCGTTTTTTGTAAGTATACAGTTACAGTCTGGATGAAATGCACAGTGCTGAACACTTAGGCACTCCTCGTTGGTCAGAGTGTGGTACTCATGGAAAGCCGAGTAGTATTTTACACAGGTGCAAAGGTACGCCAGTCACTGAATCGGAGAGATGTCAAAGACACTAGCAGGATCCTGTCTTCTTGTTTTTTATTAATGTGATCACTTTTCTTAAAAATTAAACTTTAACATTGTTTGAATAGCATCCATTTGCGACTTTATTAATACATAAATCATCTCCGCCCCCACCCAGTAGAGAGTGCGATGTCGTTATTTCCACTGACGGAATGATTGAATGACCCGTAATCAGCTTACTATTAGAAGCATTAATTATACGGAACTTTCCCGGAATACAGTGGCAGGATTTACTTAAGTGCAAAGTTACACAACTATGATGCAATATGACTCTCTGTTAATTTAAAGATCACAGTAGATGTGAAACTAGAATATGTGCTGAACATCCCACGGAAAACCATGAAATAATTTTGTAAAGAAATACTAGTACTAATGCAAGTGTATTTAAATGAGTCCGAGTCGTTTCAATCGTTTGTTAAACTGTATCATCGGAAGCTTATGTTTGACAGCTTTTCATTCATTCATTCATTCATATTCATTCATTCATTCATTCATTCATTCATTCATTCATTCATTCATTCATTCATTCATATATTGTTTTTTAAATAGACATTCGAACGCGGAAATGTTAAGCTATAAAACAGGACACACCAGAGCGATAAACACTTACATAGGATAGCCGTTGTTTTCAGTAAGCGAGAAAGACCCCCCCCCCCCAACACACACATTGTATACTGTGAATATAGCCGGTAATAAAAAAAACAATGTACGTATAGTAAGAATCACGTAGTTGTGGTCCAAATTATACGAAATTGAGAAAAGTTAGTACGACCATGTAACTTTGTGGGTAGCCAGCTGAGGATTGAAGTTCACACCATCTTAACATGATAATGCTGTTTTGTTGTAGGTGTGGTTTCAAAATAGGAGAGCAAAAGAACGAAGACAAATGAAAATACAGGGAAAAGATGTCACATCAAAGACAGGACCATCAAAAATTCCCAGGCCCTTAAAAGAAGCCTGCAGCGAAAAAACGACAACCCCAAAAGAATTTCCATGGCCGGGATCCAGAAGCGACGGCGAGAAGCCACACTTAGCGCCCCCATTTGTCGATATTTTGAAAGCATCTGACAATTGCAGTAAATTGGAGGAAAGAATTAACCCGCTAACAATAGAATCCGATGATCGACGAAACTCAAGTATTGCCACTTTGAGGCAAAAAGCGAAACTGTATATGTCTGAGTTAGAGACACACAATAACCGTGACGTCATAGGGTCATTCAGTGTGGAGAATTTGAGTAAAGAAATAACGAACGTTGCCGAAAATAAAGACGACAGGAACAGAACATCGCCGATTGTCGTAGTCTGCTGATAATTACAATATCACTTACTCATTATGTGGGAAATTGGGTTCCAGTTCCACGTTGTTAGTTCAAGGTCGTAAAAGTTTGAAGACAATAATAATGCATACTATGGTTACATTCAGTCGAGTACTGAAATTCGAAATTTCGCCATACATTGAATATTTAGTTTCGAAACTGAAAAATAATGTCTGCTGCGACTCCATATTATGTTAATTTACATTAGTAATATCAGGACGTTTAATTTTAATCAATTTCCATAAAAACAAAACGAACTTCTCAAACGACCTATAGATGGCGTTTATATGTTTATTATTATACAGCATCGCAACCTTTAGAATCGGCCAGTTCTTTATGTTCGTATCCGACATTCATCTGTTTTTTCTCCATGTAAACTATAGAGGGCAATATCATGACATATCACATATACACATCAATGAATTTCGTTGCGTGTGCTGCATGATCATTACATTTATTATTATTATTATTATTATTATTATTACTATTATAATTAAGGTATAAAGGTGACAAATAAAATATAACGTTTTTTAAAAAAAAAAATACTAATAGATTCTAGATTAGATTATTCTGGTTGTTCGCCCCATCCTGACTCAGGTTACGAACAGTGTAAGATGCCATTTATGTGACATGATTCACTGATAAAAAAAATGATACATACAATTACAAAGTATTCCGTTATTTTACATCACAACACATTGCACATGTTACGTACAAGTTGAGAACAGGCCAGGGAACCATCATTCAGCATTTTAAATAAATGTCGCTGAAGAACATCACATCATCACCATCACATCATCGCACAGGCGAGATGAACGACGCAAGGCCGTGACACGCCACAGTGACCTACCGCATCACATAGGTACGGTGAACTTAACCCTGACCCACCACATTACACAATCTGATTAAAATCTGATGTAGTGTACGGGCTTTACAATTATTTTGGCTATAAACTTATTTTAATTTTATTTTTTATTACTTTTGTTATTAATGCCCTTTTATTTTATTATTTTACTTTGATTTTGATTTTGTGATTTTTTTT